ATGATAAAATATTATTGAGCCTTAAAAGGAAGGAAATTTGTACACAGGAACTTTGAGGACATTATGTTAAGTGAAATAAACTAGTCACAAAAGACAAATACTGTAGGATTCCACTTACATGAACTACCTAGAGTAGTCAAATTCACAGAAAGAGAAAGTCTAACTGTGGTTGTCAGGACTGGAAGGAAGATGCATTGGGGAGTTGTTTTAGTGTAGAGTTTCAGTTTTGCGAGATGAAAAAATTCTGGAGATTTGTTGTACAACAAGGTGAATGAAGCTACTACTACTGTACATTTAAAAATGATTAAGATGATAAATTTTGCATTATATGTATCTTGCCACAAGTTAAAAAATTAAAAGAAGACCATTCTCCTTCCTTCCCTCCTACCTTTCTTCCTCCCCTCCTTCCCTTCCTCCCTATCAACAAATAAAATAAGAATAAAATATTTGTAGGTAAAAGATTGCAGCAATATGTGAACGATAACCTCCTGCATAGCTACATTGCCATTTTACCAGAGCTTTATCTGTGGATTTTCATATATACTCATTCACACATGCACACACACACACAAGCACATACACACACACACAAGCAGACACACACACACACACACACACACACACATGAATATTTCAATTTAAATGGTTCTTAACTTTACCCATTGCTCTGGGTCTGGCTTTGTTGCTTGAAGAGACTTTTAAGGTTATTTCTACATTACAGGATTTATTCATCAGAATAAAAGAGGCCCCTTTAGCCTAACTGCTGACTCCACCATGCCAGTGCATCCTGGGGCACCAACAGCTTCTGAAGGCAACTGCTGTCCACAGGTAGAAAGAAGACAATGGCTGCTGCCACCAGACCTCTCATGGCTGAGCTGAAACTTCAGAGCCTGCTCACTCAGCAGCATGGCACCATCTCCGCCAGAGTCAGATAATTGGCAGCAGAAGGGTTTTCTATTGGAAGCTACCCATTTCCATCAGTGCAGTGGGCTCTCGCACAAAACTGTGTCTACCACCACATGGGGTGCTGGAGACTTAGGGAAATGGTAATTACAGAAAGGGAACAAATGGGAGGCAAAAGGCAAGTCATATCTGAGAGGAATTACAGATAGGCTTTACTACCTTTATAAAATATGAACAACTGTATTGATTTGAGAAAAAACCCTCACCCTTTTAGCCTTTTCTAAATTGAGATGATAGCACTGTTATGCATTAAGAGATGTTATCAGTCCCAAAGAGCAAGTATGGTCTTATAGCAACTAATATCTGCTAAAATGCACCTGACTGCATTGGAAATGTTGCAGCAGATTGGTATAGCTGGGAATAATGAACCGCTGCACCCCATTGAAATGTAATTACACAGCCCTCTTGTTCTTAAACCTATAAGGTGAAAGAAAGATGAATAGTGAAAGTAAAAACCGCTGACCCTTCAAACTTTAATTTACGTTATGCATTTGCTCGCCCTTCTGATAGGTTTTAGAAAGGTCATAATTTAGGGTATTTTGCAGTTGATAAATGATCTGTATGTTTGTGTTCACACGCACCGATTGATTTGTTATAGCCAAAATATTGTTTCTATAACAACCCAAGAGCCCTTAACTAGACAAACGGCAAACCGGAATCCAAGGGAAATGTGGGCCTGCCCAGAGGGGCTGGCCTTTGACCAGAGTCTCTGGGGTGATGGCGGGGAGAGCATGGGTGAGGATGCAGGGGCAAAATTGTGGAAGGAGAAGGTTGTGGCTGAAGCAGATGAAGCAGTGGCTTTGGTTCTTGGAGGGCCCGTGGTCACGGTCTCTTCGAACCCTCTCAACCCGGCATGGGTGGCTTCCACTGCAGCCGAAGCAAGTCTTGTCAAGACTTTCAAGTTGAGCTCCCTTTGGTGTAGAGTAAGCCAGCCGGGTTGTTAGGGCAATTTTCCCGCCTTTCCAGCCTTGGAAGAGGCTCCTGTTTCCGGGCCCAGTTGATGCATTATGCATCAGGGCTGCCTGCAACTGACAGCCCCTCAGCCAACGTCGACTTGAAAAGCAATGGTGCTAATCAAAGCCGACACATTTGAATGTCCAGACACACACACAGAGAAATTTACTAATCAAAAAGTGTATTTCCTAGGGCTGTCTCCAGAGAAATCCGCGGGAAGAAATTGGAATAATTTATTAGCTTACAAGTTTTCGTTGACAGTTAGCCCAAAGCTATTTATCTCTGTAATAGAGAACGTCTCCAATGTGGCAAAATTGACCAAATCAAACAGCTTTGATCAGAAAATGAATCTGGCAAGCCTGCCTGTCGGAGGGTCCCAGGAGAAAGGGGGGAAACAAACAAAAAGATTTAACAAGTGGTCAATAGGAGAAAGAGAGCAAGAGAAAGGATTTGGAAGAAGAAAAGAGCAAGGGAGAAGCCAACAGAAAAGGAATTTTGCAAAGCCACAGCTCCGACTCGGGAATGAATTTTGAAGAAATAAATGATGTTTCACATCATAACATTTAACATGGTGCTTTTGCATTATCTGAGCCCTGCAGCCCAAACTGAGATGTGATTTTTATGATAACAAGATGATGACAAACTACAGGGGGAGGGTGTTTGCTCTGCTGCTGGTGGTGAGGAAATGGGCACAGGAAAACCCAGAGAAAGGCTTTTGAGCTCCTGGCCCTTTTGCAGCAGCACTGGCCCGCTTCTGACTCAGGGAGCACATGGTGCTTGCCCAGCAAGGACCAAGTTAGCTCACGGATACCATACTGTAATCTCTTGTGAGTCCAAAGGTAGGACCCGCTCCAGGTTCCTCTATTCCTCTGATGGACAGTGCCAGGGAGATCACAGTGGGAAGCACTCATGTGGCAGGAAAGTGCACCACTGCTTTCTATCTTAATTCTCTTCTAAAATATATATACACTTCAATCAGTGGACATCATTTAATACAGTTTTGAAGTTCAGAGGTAGAAAGAATAATTACAAAATAGGGGGAAAACCTCAAATCATCAGAGACTACTTTAGATATTAAAATGCACCTCTCTAACACATAGGTGGACTACCAATCCCAGGTATCTTCTGCCACAGGCAATGCTCCATTGCTAACACCCAAGTGCATTTATTGGCTAAGTGGGTTGCTGTATTCAATTGCCAATATATTTATCCCTAAAATAAGTGCTGAAAAGCTGTCATCAACATTGCCATTCACTTTATTCTAGAGAGAAGTTTATATGAGCTCTTTGTGTTGAATACATTAGCAAATCAAAGTGAAAATTTGGCAAAGTATTTGTGAATAAAGAAAAATACAAAAATATGGAGAAATGCTTCTGCCATAGTACCATCTGGGTTGGAAATGTTTAATGAAGAAATTGTTTGATGAAGACTTGAGTGTGTCAAGTGACTTGCAAGGGAAGTTTGAACTCTGAAGTCTGAGAACCCAGTGGGACTCTCCCAGTGATCCCTGTCTTGGGGACACATTCTCCTTCCTCTGTAGCCATCTGGATTACTGGCCTGGATTACTATACCTGCAAAACAGGAGTTGAGGTAGGACTCAAAAGAGACAATGACCAAGAAATACCTTCTAAGATAATTCAAGTGCTATGCAAATGCTAAGGAGTATCACTATTGTGTTGTCTGGGGCTGGGGGAAAGGTGGTCAGCAATTTGCTTGATCTACCAAGCCCAACCTAACTGATGATCCTATATGAGGAAAACAAGCTGCACACTCTGAGAGCTAGTCTCTATCCATGATTCTGGGTGTTTTCCTTAATAAGAGACATTGTGCATTTTTTTCTCTTCCTCCAGAGAAATGAGTCACTGCCTCCTACGAGTGGCAAGCCAAATACCCTACTTCTGTAGGCTGTCCCCTTCAAGCCGTGGGCCCTTCCTCAGAGAGCTGGGGGAAAAGGTATATAGTTGGCTTTAAATCCTTTTGGACTCCCAATTCAGGTTAAGTCCCCATGTCTGATCCATATGTCTGTGTATTCTTGGAGCTATAACCCCTGGCTAATTGAGTGCTAAAGGTGGATCAGCAATTTTGCTTGATCAACCAAATCCAACTTAATCTGCTCTGTAAAAGGATTTAGTGGATAGTATCTGAAAGTTAAAGTATTTCCAAACCATTCAAACAAAGACTATTAACTTGGTTTTGTTGCTGTTTTAAGGAGTGTGAGGAAAAACATTTTGGGCAGTCAGAGGTTTGTTTCCCAGACGACAAATAAGACAGTTTCGTTTTATTTGACTAAAATTAGCAGTCTGTATTGTGTAGGATAATGGGTTAGCTTGGGTATTCAGGTACTCTTGTGAATGCACCTGAATTATCTCTTCTTTACAAGAATCACATTTTAATACCCATCCTGATGTTGTGATAGCCACAAACCACCAATTTGTCCAGTGTCTCACAGTTTCCTTTGTAGCTGCTCTTGGAAGCAATCACACCTCTGATCCATGACGGATGCTCTCCCTGGGAGTGGGACTGGCACATCCAGAAGGCCCTCTGCCCACATTTTGCCTAGTTGGGACTTCTGCCGTACTGGTGTGTGCTCTTCTCTTTGGCAACACAGAACAGCAAAGAACTTCTGCTCAATGACATTGCTGTGTGATGTGCTAGGAAACTGCCAGGAAATTCCTACTAAGAATCATGTCCAAATGAGTTAAAGGAGCTTGAGGTTTTTCTTCCTCCACTTTGCAGTGTTTTAACATGTGTAAAGCCACTGGATTTCCAAATTAGGAGACCAATTTAAATGGTTCCTAGTCTGAATTTACTTTTCTCTCTTGTATAACCGACAAAGTGTCTAATATTGGAGGTGCAAAATGAAGGCTTCAGGAGTTCAAAAGGAAAAGACTTCAGTTCTATTTTGAGAGATATTCCTGTAATCCGGGCCTTGTAATTCTCTCAAATCTTTACCAAAGCAGGAAATGAAGTGTTTTAGGAACCAAATACTCAAACTAACAATGCAGGAACTTCCATCTTGAATCTTGAACATCTGGGAATGTTTTTCTTGAAAAACTTCCCTAATGCTATTTAATGTACAGATAAGGAAGGTTTAAGTGGAAGAGAGCCGGACATTGATTTGAGAAACTTCTCCTTTGAAAACATTACATTTTTTTACAATTAAACATTTGTTTCCCATAAATTCATTTCAGAAGAGTACTTTGCAGTTATAAAGTCTTACTTTCACCTGAGACAGGAGGAGAAAGAACTTAAACATTGTTGTCAGACTAGGATTTTGACTGTGGCTTCTGCTTCCCAGTAGCTGTGAGCTTGAATATGTCATTTCACCTCTTGGAGCTCCCAACTCATTGGTGAGATTAACAGTGATGCCAGTGTCTCAACACTGTTCAAAGGCTGTGATGAAATTTGTATGATAATGTGTTTAATACAGAACCTAACATGGAGACGATGTTTAACAAAAGGGTTAGGTATCATTACCCTCATTTTACAGATGATCTAGTGGACTTTCACCCCCCAGAGGCCATCCTCCTATTCCAAATGAAGCCTAAGACTTGCCCAACCTCAGGCAGTTGTTAAGTCATGTCTTTCTTGGTAGATCTCAAAATATCCTCAGTCCAGAAACAATTCTAAGTGCCTGCTACTATCACAGATATCTGACTTTTCTCTCTTTGTATGCCTCAACTTCCCATTTACATCCAGAGCTTCAGATGATTGTGATTTCAATGAGCTAGCACAAGACAAAAGTGTTTTCCCTTCCCACCAAATCTATGTTTCCTGTAGGGGATAGGGTGGGGGGTGCATGGGAGGCAGAAGAAAAAAAGTATGCCCCCTGCACGATTCATCATTCTCTAAGGCATGAGATTTGATTACTAGTCTTTAACATGCATAACAGCAAACTGAATTATCAGCCACTGAATTATCTAGCCCCCTTTGAAATTCATCTAAAATGTTAGGCTCTTTGACCCCTAGAGGTAAGTAATGCCACAGACTGACTTCATGCTACTTAATGCTGCTGCTGCTGCCTCTACAGCAACAAAGCCTTTCTTGAAATATAACACATAAGAACAAAAATATGTGTCTGATTTCTGGGGGTAAATATTATATTTCATAGAAGCACCTGCTTATATTATGAAACAACTAGATTGCAAAGATTCTCCAGTCTCTCACATAAACCTTGTTAGTCTTCCACACATATAATATCTACTCTGTTATGCTTGGCATCCTGGGGTCTCTGTTTTAAAAAGGACATTTAAAAAAATTAAAAAGAAACAACCCTCAACTATCACTAGTGAAAATGGTTATTACCTTACATATCTTTTCCAACTTTTACCATACTTGCTAGTAGACCAGAAAGAAATCCAACTTCTTTCAGGCTTTATGTTCATTGTCCAAAGGTCTGATCATTCTCTAACTTCTGGCTGGTGGGGAGCTTGGAGGCAGCATCTGAAACCATTCAGTGGTGGAGAGTGATTTAGATGTTACAAAGCAGGAGCCACCCCTGGACTCTTTTCTCTGGAAGTTCAACCACCCACCTTCACTCTGCCTCTTTAAATACCCATCAGTGTTAAAACCCATATTTAACATAATATCTTTCAAATTCCTGACAAGGAGCCACTTTGAACAGCCTTGCTCCCTCTGCTCCTCTTCTGGGCCAGATGGGCCTAGGCTTGTTCTTGGGGCGTCTTTCTTCCTGGTTGTTCCACTACACCTGGCATTGGGCTTTTGGCCTCGCATGAAACCATTTCAAAACACTCTCTCTTTATAATGTAAGCTTTTCTTGTGCTGAAACCTTGCTTTTCATTTGCTCTATACAGTACTTGTCACATTGCATAATATAAGCTACACAATGGTGGCATAGAAGGAAACAATAACTGAACATAAGCATCTACTGTGGAACCACTAATGAGCAGTCTGCCTTTTGAGAGCTACTTGCAAACTAAAATATAGATGAATATAAAGGGCAAGGCTAAGGAAAAGTCAATAGAGACTCCCAATGTTAATACTTAACCTCTATCTCCGTCAACTCATTAGATTTTTGAGCTGTAATACTAGAACCTTCTCTATTCACCTAGGGCCAAGTGTCTTGTCACAGTCCTGGCAAAAAAATAAGAATTACTTTTCTCCATGCTGATTTAAGATAAAAACTTAGAAGTCGTGGGCCTCCCCGGTGGCGCAGCGGTTGAGCGCTGGGCTGCGAAGCTGCGCGCAGCTTCTGTGATGCCGGTTCGATCCCCGGCTGCTCCCCGGCCACCGGAGGAGGGTCCCACATGGCGCGCAGACCTCTCCTGCCACCCGCTGCTCCCCTCAGCAGTGTACTTCGGTCCTTCTGCCTGCTCTGATCCCCGCTCTGGATCTGGTGAATTCTCTCACCCTCCCGCGCTTCTGACTGTACCCAGTGCATGTATAAACAAAACAAACAAACAAATAAATAAAAACATGCCTCTAAAAAAAAAAAAATTAAAAAAAAAAAAAAAACTTAGAAGTCGTAAATTTTGTATACATTTTGCAAATACCAAAAAATACATTAAAATTGTTATAGTTACACAAAATCAGCATGGTTACATAAATGTGTTATGAAAAGAAGCAATTTGTTGTAACCAATTTTTTAAAATTATGCAAATATAATATCTATGGTTTATACTGCTCCTGCCATTTTGAATAGATTCCTTTTTTTGTATATTATGTTCTATTTTTCAGCCTGTAAGTTAATGAGTAAGTGCTAGTACATGATAAATCAAATCTTATACTTGTGTACAATGACTATAATCAACATATACAGTCATTCACACAATATTTCTCAAATATATATATATATATAATGATATATACTAGTTGAGAAACTGATTAAAGACTGAGAGTAATAAATAATTTTAGAATGATTATGCTAAATAAACAATGTGGGTTAGCAAGAAAGCTGCATAATTTTACTTCCTAAAGATGGAAATGATATGTAAAGGGTAAATAGGTTCCTGGAAAATCAAGTGAGGGCATTGGGAATACTTCGCTGTATGAGTCCAGGCAAGTTCATTCTATCTTTGGACCTCAGTTTCCTCATCTGTAAAATTTGAGGTGAAACTGGAAAATTCTGGGTCTGCCAGCTCCAATATCCTGGGGTATGCGGCTCCTCAAACTACAGTAGAGCAGATCTGCAAACTGTCCTGCTTTTGGAAGACTCTGCTCAGCAGGAGCAGATGTATGCTGATTATTCCCTGAGGGAGGCAAGTGATGAGGACCTTTCCCAGAAGAGGTTCCTAGCGTATTTTCATATAATTCTTAGGGCAACCTTTTCTTACCTTGATTCATTCTCTCTGAGGGACTTTATCTAACTTCAGGACAGATGGCATCCCTCACTTTTGCTAATTCTAAATCCTAGCAATTTACCCTCTCTCTAACTTTAAGTTGTTTGATGGAGTTGACTAATTTTCTTTCTAAATTCATATGCTCTCATTTATCTATTTCCCTAGGATCTCTGTTTCTCTCTCATATTCAGATTGAGTTACTCAATCAATTTTACTATCATCTGTTCCTCGTTGCTTAAATCCTAAATTTTATCATCAGAGTATTTTGGGGAGATAATATGTTACAAATTTTAAAGTAATTTTAATTAACATCATAATATGTTCATAATTGCAGTTTTCATAAAGTTTTTTAAATTTATGCAACCCCTGTCAAAAGCAGAGTTTGCACCTAAACACTTATCACTGGACTTTTTCCAAAATATAATATGGTGGACTTCTCACCTTAGTGAGTCATGTTTTGTACCAGTTTTTTTTTTTCTTTTTTTATGAAGCTAGGAGAAAGAACATGGATACATTTTGACATTTTCTAAAAATATTTCAAATAATACCATACAGAAGAAGATGCTTATAGTTTCTGTAGTAATTTGTACTCAATGTATGATATTGAGAAACAAGTTTTTAGAATTATATTACGTAATTAAATATTACATGTTAATATATAGATCCCTGTCATGTTTGTTTAGTGTATTAAAACCACAGCCTTTATTTTTAACTAGACACCAAAATCATAGGTTAAAGTTTCTTACAACACATACCTTTTGGACAGATAACTTCAGCTAGCCTAAGCAGTCTAAGAGCTTATTTGTTTCTGCAGATGTTGATGTGGCCTCTCAAAAAAGCATGAACATCTTTATGTTGCAGAATACACTTCCTCACATTGATTTGGCTCAAGACAAATTTACAAGAAAATATTAAGCCAGTCAAAAAATTGCTTAAAACAACATCACTAATCATCAGGGAAATGCAAATGTAGCCCTCAATGACATACCACCTTACATCTATTAGAATGGCTATTATAAAAAAAGAAATAACAAGTGTTGGTGAATATGTGGAGAAAAGCGAATCCTTATGCACTATTGGTGGGAATGTAAATTGATGTTGACACTATGGAAAACAGTATGGAGATTCCTCTAAAAATTGAAAATAGAACTACCATGTGTTCCAGTTAAATCTGCTTCTGGATATTTATCCAAAGAAAACAAAAACATTAACTCAAAAAGATGTCTGCACCCCAATACTGCACTGTATTATTATTTATAATAGCCAAGGAAACAACCTAAGTGTCTATCAATGGATGAGTGGATAAAGAAGATGTGGTATGTATATATATATATATATATATATATATATATATATATGTAATGGGACATTATTTAGCCATTAAAAAAGGGAAATCTTGCTTGTATCAACTTGGATGAGCCTTGAGGGCATTATGCTAAATGAAATAAGTGACACAGAGAAAGACAAATACTGTATGATCTAACTTATTTGTGGAATCAAAGAAACAAAAACAATCAAACAAAGCCAAGTTAGCAGATATGGAGAACAGATTGGTGGTTGCCAAAAGTTAGGGGCTGGTGGTGAATGATGGGTAAAGACAGTCAAAGATGTAAATTCCCAGTTATAAAGTAAAAAAAAAAAAAATGTAGGGATCTAGTGTTCAGCATGGCATATTTGTAGTGCATATTTGGAAATTGCTAAGAGGTAAATCTTAAAATTTCATATCATAAGAAAATAATGAAACTCTGTATGATGATGATGTTAATTGGATTTATTATAACAATCATTTGTAATATTTACAAATATCATTATGTTGTATACCCCAAATTTATATGTTATATGTCAACTATGCCTCAATAAAAAATGCTTAATATATCTGTAAATCAACTTAACCAGTCAAATGAGCTAAAAATCATTAAACCAGGGCCTCCCTGGTGGCACTGGTTCCCTCTCTCAGTGGTATCAAGCTATTGCCAACCACTGCAGCACAAGTTTGATCCCCAGCCAGAGAGCTGACCTATATGGTGCAGCAGACCTCTCCTGTCTTGCCTGCTGCTCCCCTCAGCAGTGTATTTCAGTACATCTGCCTGTCCTGCTCCCCACTATGTCTCTGGTGAAGCCTCTCACTCCTGTACCTCTGGCCTAGGCCCCAGCTCTTGTGTGCATAAATAAATAAAAATAAATCTTTTAAAAAAATCATTAAACCAGTTCAGGTTCACGCTGTGGACAGTCTGTTGAAGTGCCAGTAGAAGTGAAGGTGCCCATCAGGGTCCAGCATAACCCTTCAAATAACAACAGAGCTTGGTTCTGCTTTTGGAACAAGCAGAGACTGAGCTGCTTTACTGGACACAGGAACCGATCCTTAATTTCCCTAGTAGAAATAGCATTTGGAAACCAGAGCATGGCCCTACCCCAGCCAGGTCCAGGACACACACCATCAGGCCTGAGGCCTGCCAAGGGGCGCCTTTTGACTCACAGAAGTGGGTTGCTAAGAAGAGGTGTTCTGAATCAACATCTCTGCTTGATGGATATTTTCCAAACAAATGCTCTTTTCTCTTGTCCAGCCATCACCCTACATCCGTTCTATATATTTTTGAACAATCGCACCTGTTGACATTTTCCTATCACAAGAAAAGCTCTGAAAGATGAGAGGAGAACCCATTGAATTTATTTGTGCTTTTGGTTATTTCGCAGAGAAAAGTGGTATTGCAGCAATCTATTAAAAACACACACTACATGAAAGCTAAAAGTCTGTCACATAAAAGCACCACCTGTAGCTACTCTTTTGAAAAGAAAGTCCTTGGCAAACAATGGCCTGAGTGAGCCAGTTTAATAAAGCAGGAGTCAAGATCACTGAGACATAAATTAAGCATTCATCCTTGAGTAGCAGCCAAGCAGCCAAAGCCCCCATAATCCCAATTAATCCCATTTTGTGTGGTCGTCCTTGGGCCAAGGGCAGAGGGGAAGAGAATTTGCACAAGTTGGTTCCGCATCAGCTCTTTACCTTTTCAGGGGGTGGGTCCGTAATAAAGAAGTGCACCTATGCCGGTGTTCCTGTCCTGACGTTGTGGCAATCAGAGTCCTCCCCCACTGGCTTCCGCGATCTGTCAGCAAGAACTTACTTCAAGGACATCCTACACTTCC